TTTCATTAGTGTTTTATAGTTATTAGTGTATAGGACTTTCACCTGGGTTAAGTTTATTCTTAAGTACTTTATTCTTTTTGATGCAATTGTAAATGGGGTTATTTTCTTAATTTCTCTGAGAGGTTTGTTATTAGTGTAAAGAAATAAAACATATTTTAGTGTATTGATTTTCTATCCTGCAACTTTACTGAATTCATTTATTAATCCTAACAGTTTTTTGGTGGAGACTTTAGTTTCTATATATAGTATCATGTCATCTGCAGACAGAACAGTTTTACTTCTTCCTTCCCAATTTGGATGGCTTTTAGTTCTTTTTCGCACCTAATTGCTCCGGCTAAAACTTCCAATATTATGTCGAATGGAGTGCTAAGAGTAGGCACTCTTGACTTGTTCCTGATATTAGAGGAAAAGCTTATAACTTTTCACCATTAAGAATGTTAGCTATAGGTTTGTCATATATGGCTTTTATGTTGAGGTATGTTCCCTCTATACCCAATTTGTTGAGAGTTTTATCATGAAAGGATGTTGAATCTTGTCAAAAGCTTTTCTGCATCTTTTGAGATGATCATGTGAATTTTGTCCTTCATTTTGTTGATGTGGTATATCATGTTGATTGATTTGCAGACACTGAACCACCCTGCATCTCTGGAATAAATCCCACTTGATCACAGTATATTCCTTTCAATGTATGGCTGAATTAAGTTTGCTAATATTTTGCTGAGAATTTTTGCATCTATGTTCAACATGGATATTGGCCTGTAACTTTCTTTTCCTGTACTGTCCTTGTCTGGTTTTGGTACACCAACTCTTTAAAATTCTTCCCAAAGCAAGTCTCAGGGCCACATTTAACTTCTAGTGGGCAGGGAAGTATAATCCTACCATGTGTGCCAAGGAGAGGTAATGCAAATATTTGCTAACAGCCCTAACTATTACTATACCTGGGAAGTCAAAGGAAACACCTTTGATTATTGGTCTATACTATTGTTACTGTTTGACCACTTTACAAAGAGTAGATATTATTCTCTCATTAAAAACACATTCATATACAGAATGTAGTATCTGTCCAGAGAGGAAGCTTGATGCTTCAGACTACAGGGTGAAAACTGAGTTTTCTTTCTATTGAACTATACAGATAATTACAATAAGCTGGCAATGATCCCTTTCTTCACTGGCCTTAAAAATGTGAAGCTGTCTCTTATTTTCCTCAGAATAAATGTGTGAATGTGCAAACTAGGTATTATTAACTTCAATTTATAGAAAAGAAAACTGACGTTTGGGCCACACAGCAGTTAATTCAATGCACCATTTTTTTTACCTCCAACAGTTCATTTTTAAAAATTCAAACAAAAAACAGTGGAAAAACTGCTTAGTGAGTACTCATAAAGCCAGCACTTAGATTCTATATTTAATATTTTGCTGTACTGACTTTATCACATCTATTCATCTATCCATCCTTCAGTAGATGTTATTTTTGGTTTATTTCAAAGCAAGTTTCAGATAGCAATACACTCTACCCCTAAACATACATATTATTAGAGTTTAATATTTGCTTATACTCTATATTTTTAAACTCATAAAATAAAATGCACAAGGGTATTCTTACAAAGTTCTGATAAATGAATTCACCCATGTAACCAAAACCTCCATCAAGATATACAACCCTTCCACAGAAAGTTCCCTCACACTAGGCCTTGATTTAAACACAAGATCTGTCTCAGAAGTCCAGTCTTTTTTACAACACTCTGCTACTCTTTTTAAAAGGTCCTGAGTGCAACACATTAAGTGTGAAAATCAAGAATTTTATTTCTAACTCTCAGTAACTAAGAGAGCTAAAATATAGAAATATGAAAGGAAGATAATACCAGAGATGCCCTCCACCCAAATCAGACAGCCTAAGTATTTAATATCTCTAGCAAGCTGACTGTACCACCTCCCTGCCACTACATAAAAACTTCTACTTTCTTCCCCAGGAGTGTAAGAGTTAATCAAAGAAGAATGGATATAACAATAAAAACCATCTCATATGCTCATCTCTCATATTCCAATTAAACTAATAGATGTTTGGGGTCACAACCACTTTTTATGCTTGTCAGGCAAGCACTGGGTTAAGTGCTCTTTGTTTTAGTGGTTACTATGAGAGGCAGTGGGAAACTGGAGAAAAAGCAAAATCAGCCAAATGTGGGTTTCAATCTCTTTGTATTTATTTGCTATAAACCATATGCATGGTACTTAATTTTTCTAAGTTTTAGCATCTCACTTGTAAAATGTGGCTTATATTTGCTTTCCTTTTGATGTCAGGTTTCTCAAATAAATCACCTATGTACAGATTCAGACAAGAAAAACCCCTACCCTGGAACTCAAGCTTTAGGAGAAAATACTCTATTCCTCTTCCAATCATGTCCCTTCCCACAGAAGGAAGAGACTTGGGGCCAGAAGGACATGCACACCATGAGCCCTCACCTCTGTCAGTGACCATGCTCTGGGTAATCTAGACACAGAATTCCTTGCCCAAATAGCAGCAAGCCCAGTGTCCGAGGTTTGCAGGGACCTACTCTCGGGGTCTCATTTCCTCTCATTAAAAACACATTCATATACAGAATGTAGTATCTGTCCAGAGAGGAAGCTTGATGCTTCAGACTACAGGGTGACTACAGTCCTCATGAATGTGAGGAGTGGGGGGTTCAGATATAAATGTAAAGAGCATGGATGGTGCACAGGGGAGGAAGAGATACGGTTTTAAGCTCAGAAGGTGAAGTGTGCTCAACCTATGCAGACATATTCTGGCATGTAACTGAAGAATCCAGGAATTCTTAGTTCCAACTTGAACTTCAAGGGCCATGTGAAAGTTTATCAAAGTGGAAGGACAAAACATGTTTAATGTAATAGTTTGCTAACTTATATATATTATGTGTGTCTTCATTTATATTTGTTTCAGACTCTGCAAATATTACGAATGGGTATGTCTATATCTAGAACTAATAACCTAGTATGTGTAGTGCCATATTCACTTTCAAATACATTTAGTCATATAACATTATCATGAGTTAGGTTTCACTAACTTATCATACAGATAATGAAACAGACACATTTAAGAAACCTATCCAGTGTCATTTCCTTCTACCTCCATATCTCTCTTCTTAACTACCAAACATGAGTTTCCTCCTCTACTGTATCATTAATAATAAACTCTCCAAAACTATGTGCCCCTAATTCTAAATCCAGTCCTGATTCTCCATGACCTCTCTTCAGCAGCTGACACTATTAACAATTTTTCCTTTCATAGAACAGCTTTCTTTCCTTTGGCTATCTAAGGATAGACTATTTCAGTTCTCATCTTAGCTATTGCTCTTTCTCTAGCTCCTCTTCTTTCTCAGAATTTTTGAAGGATGAATTAAGATAATGTTTCTGGATAGTGTCAGCATAAACCATATAGTAAATAAAAGTTTTTTTAATCTAAAAGAATAGTTAGCCACTTTAAATACAGTGCCAGTTACTCTACTACGTGACACATGCATGCACATTCATCACTAAAAACAACTATCCTAACATCACCATAAAATTGAAGCACAGGATGGTGGAAAAATTAACCTGTATTAGAAACTTGGTTCCAAACTTTCTGGTTTTATGATCCAGAATAAGTCACCTAACTTCCCTGAGTTTCTGTTTCCCCACCTGTGTAATCTTATTATGTTCTTGTGAGAATTAAATGACACACACAGCACATGGTACATATTCAGTAAATGTTAACTCCCTCCTTTTCTTGTTGCTTCCAGGTGAATATATTTGTTCTTTCTTTTTACCTTGGGTTCATTTCAAACACTAGGTCCTTGGTCCCTGGACCTTTCTTCATACTCTTCATACCAACCAACACCTTATCATATTTGTGAGCCCTACTCTTCCTGAAAGATAGTTTTGAATTACCTGAGTCTATTTCTGAGTGTCCAGGTCCACATCTCTTGACTTTTGCTACTTATTTCTACTTGGGAATCCCAAATTGTTTCTTATCCTCACAAAATGAAGAATGGAAAGCAAAAGCCTGCGTGTGACATAAAATATTATAAAGGCAGAACTGACAGAATGGATGATAAAGAAGCTAATCTCATGGTTTCAAGCTTGTCTGAGAAAATTACAAAAATTGAGAAGATTCTTAAATCATGTCCAAAATTTTCTCCCCTTTTTATCTTCCCTCACTCACCAGATATGAAACTTTAATCTTTCTAGCTAGCTTCCAAACCTACAAAACCCAAAATGTTCTCATTACTCTGAATTCCCTCACACATTAAAATGTTCCATTCATCTGACATCAAATTATACAGTCTTCTATTCCTAATTTTCATAAATTAACAACTTATGTTCCTAACTATGCTGTATACTCTTTAATGGCCAACAAACATCTCTTACACTTTCAGTATTCTTCATAATATTGATTGACTATTATGAAGATATGGTCAAGAACTGAAAAATCATAAATTAAGATGTCTGTAGATTTTTTTCTGATACAGAAGGAAAAGCTTTTCAAATCAAAAGTTTGGGTAACCTTCCACAAATAGGAAGTGTGTGTCAAATTTTCTATGTATCTCTCCAGGTTTTTAGTCTTAGCTTTAAATGGCAAAAAAAAAAATCTTTCAACATAAATTTTATTAGCTATGTGTTTATAGTTTATAAATTATTTCCAAGAACCATGCAAACTTTTCTTCAAAAATTACTAATCACTATATTAATTTCTGTTGGAAGCAATTCTTAAAAGTGTAACATAGATCTCAAAAACCATGTAATACATATGATGTGCTACTTATTAAGTAGTGATTCTAAAACTTTTTTTTAAAGCCAGATGACAAAAAATAATTAGTGTACAACTTATTAAAAGAAATGGCTTTCTTCTTTGGTTGAATATATTATATTTCAAAATTGGGAAACTTCATTCAATTACATTTTCTTTACTGTGATCAAAACAGCAAAACTACAGGGTAATAAAGCTAGTTATGATTTGCTTATTTTACCTGAGTAGCTTTATCTTTCATGCATGAAGGGTAATGCACATGAGGATCTCGCGGCCACTGTCCTGTGAGATAAGGTCCTGTTATCGTATCCAAAGAAGAGGTTCGCCGTATTGTATTAGAGGTTCGAACTTGCTGAGATTTTGGCCTGTCCACTATAAAAAGTGAAAAAAAATTAGATTAGTGGCTAACAAATAAAATAAAATTTAAAATTATTTAAACTTCATAGTTTGTAGGATGTCATGTCACCCTGTCAATTTTCCTTACTGTATGTATTCACCCTTAATAGCCCTTGTACATGATGATGAAGTTTACAGACCCTCTCCAAAAGAAAATACACTCACATATTAAATTTCCTGCATACACTTCAAGGGCTGTCTCAGACTCTAGGAAGCCCATCCATTTGAGAGACCTACTCTAAAATCTATCATCCCACTGCCATTACTTCAAGACCTCATCCTGCCTCACCTGGACTGCTAATTTCCTAACTGCTATCTCTGCATCCATTTCGACTAAATCTTACAGTGCCACCTTCCCCTTCACTGCTGAAAAAATTTCCATGTTTATTCATTGTCTTTCACTTAAAGCCTGTATTTCACCCCCCAATTTGGCTCCTGTTTACTAAATGCTTAATGTCTTGCTATTCCTGCATAAACCCATAACACATGAACTGCAGATTCCCAAATGTAAAACACTCCCTTCTGTCTCTATTATCTCCAGAACTTAGAACTTTCTCCTTCTGTGTTCACTTGACAAAGTCTCAGCTTCAAGACCAGCTCAGGTGTTACACTGCCTCAGTGGAAACTTCCCCAATGCCTCCCTTTCTCTATTTCTTTGTTTAAGATATATGCTCCCTCCTCTGCATGGAACCGTAAGTTTGTCTTCCCCTCCACTGGAGCATAAGTTAGGTGCCTGCAGACTGAAAAGGAGTCAATGGCTAAATATTTAACAAATATTCACAGCTATATAAAAATAATGTGTATAAAGAACCTTATACTTTAATTCAACTTCCTTATTTATCAATGAAGAATGTGAAGCCCAGAAGAATAAAATTGAATTGTCCAAAGAAACTTAACTGCTAAGAGGTGACAGAGGTAAAATGGAACTAAGATCTCCAGACATTCTACATGCTGTTCAGTTAAGCTACAATGCCAATCTGCTCTCCTTTCCATACAGGTACCATGGGCAACTCTGTTGAAAACTGAAACGAATCATACTGAACTCTATAGTTTGTCAAGAAACTATAGAGGCTTTTTTCATACATACATCCTAAATAATGTGCATTCCATAATAAAATCCAGTGGATTACAAGCTCCAAGGCTCAAAGTCTTATTCAGAGGTGTATCCCATCAAACAAAATGCCTTGTACATTATAGAGGGTCAAGAAACATTTGTTGTTGAATGCTGTCCTTTAACTGCCTCCCTGAAACCAGCATACATAATTAGTTTTCTTTTTTAAACCAGAAAACAAGCAAAAGAAAATATATACTCTGATGTTATCATATTTTACAACTGTGGTCTTGATTTCTTCTTTGACTCAAGAGTGTTAGAGAAGATTTGAAAATTACCAAATAGCCTCCCTATCTTAATTACTTAACTCTAATTTTACTTCACTATAAGCAGAGAATCTATGATGACCTATTTCTATCCTTTGGTAAAAATTACCTGAAATTTCCCTTGTGACCAAAAACATGGCCAATTTTTATAAACATTTCATGAGTCATAGAGAAGTATATTTTTATTTTTAGAATATATAGTTGTTTTGTACATGAACTGAAATAAAAATATAGCTTATATAAATAATTTAATTACCAGCAGATAATTAGATAATTTAGAGAAGTACCTTAAAATTTCTAAACTATTATTGAGATCTATAAATCTCTATTTCTTGCAACTTTTTATCACTTATATTTTAGTTCTTTATAATCTGGTACATATTGATCCATGACATCATCATTATGGCTTATATGCTTCACCATTATAATCTGTTCCATTTATTACTTCTTACTTTTAAACTGTCAATTGAACATTATGACTTTCCTTTTGCTTTTCTTTGTATTATAATTTGCTTTTCTTTGAATATAATGGCATATCTATTCTTTCATTTTCAGTTTCTCTGAATCATTCTGAGCCATTTTGTTTATGTGTATCTCTTGTATACAGCACATAATTAGGCTTTTTGAAAAAACTTTGAAGTAAGCCTTCTTTTTATAGAAGGTAAGTTTATCCCACTTACATTTTTAACAAATTTGGTTTAACTTGTAACTTTTTTCTTCCTGCTTTGTAATACTTCCTTGCTACTTGTTTTCTATGTTTTACTGTTTCTTCTTCTCTCTTCTTACCTCCCACCGTATCTTAAGTAATTTGGAAGATAGGCAGACTGTTTTTAGTCCTACTATTATTAGGTATTTCTATCAATTCTTTTAAATAATTTTTTCTGGGTATAAAAGCAATACCCATAAATTTTAGCAACTTTAGGAAACACAGAAAATTAACATGTCTCTCATAATCTAATCCATAATGATCTATTTAACATTTTTTAAAGTTACCTTACATTCCCTTCACCAGGAAAAAACAGAAGACAAAAACAGATTATCCCTTGAAAAAGAGCCAACATTTATAGCAGGTCACTGCTAAAGTAAAAAAGGCCTACATAAAGGTCAACTATGTCCAGAAAACAAAGACCCATCATATAAGTGAAAAACTTCTACCTGAACTTAAACTGCTCCAAACTATCAAAAAAGTTGTATGGGGTCTACTTACAGTATTAGAACTTCTTTTAACTGGGTAAATAAACAATAGGACCATTTTTCTGTGTTATAAGATAAGAAGAATCTACAAAGGAGACCCCCAATCTGTATAATACAATATTCTAGTCTGCATTTATCAACTATGTTTTTAATCACTGGACCATTGCCTATCACTTTCATAAGATCTCAAGTTCTCCCTTTAGTGTCTACTTTCTGATTAGCTACTTTGTCAGAACTATGGTTTTCAAATTATTTTGACAAAGTACTCCTATTAGTAAATGTGTAAGCATGTAGCAATAACTGTAGTTATTTATAAATGGAGTATGTACTATATTAATGTTATACATATTATAAAACAGACAAAACAGAAGCTTATATTTATGTGAATGAAATAAAAAATTTAAAAAATATTTTAAAAACTAGAGAAGCTGTGATGTTTTCTTCCTGTATCTCAATGGGTGGCCTTGCTCACCTCAAAGTGAAGACCACTGGGATAAGGGATCTGAAATTGGGTGCTAAATTCAATCTACAGATTGGCCAGTTAGATTTGTCTAATTCTGTGATATCACCAGATTGCTAAACTGTGGTAAGAATGTATAGACAAGCACCACCCATTATCAATACCAAAAGAAAAGGTCTGCCTACTAAGAAAGAAGTAGTATAACAGTGTCTGTACCTTGTTATAAAATTCACTTTACCAGTCATCATTTTTAAAAAAATGAAAGTATACAAGGCAAATGTACTTGAAAGGTTGTATTGCAAACATACACTTTAAAAGAAAGTTTTTCACCATTGCTCAGACCAGGAAAATTTCAAAGGTATGAAACTGTTAGTAATTTTGAAATTATTTAAAGAGTAAAAGTTCAGAAGAAATATAATAACTGGCAAGGATAACACTCTTCTAAGATATGATTAGCCAAAATAACCACACTTACCAAATGTCACTAGGGCCTTAGATTTATCATAAAGTGTAACTGTATTTCAACAAGATGATCTGTTCCTATTATCCAAAGTATCATGACAATAAGTTTTTAACTGCCTCATATCTAAGTCTTGATTCTCCCAAATTTTTATTTATTGAATTAGTATTATCTCCCCTACCAATTCAGGTTTTGCAATTCATGCAATAGGAAAATCAACATTGCTTTGTATTATTTATATATTCAACATAATATATTGTTTATTTTATTATCACTGTAGTGATTAGAATATGTATTTAGTTTTGAATTGAGTCAAATATTATTTATTGTTACAAAATTACCTCAATTCAAGTAGATCAAACAAAAGGACACCTTATCAACTAGAAACATACATTAATATCGTCAACAATCTTTGAATTAATTTACAAGAGCCTGAATAACATAATAAAGTTGCTAAAATAAGGTAAATATTCAATTACATATGTAGAGTAAGAAAGAAAATCAATTACATAAATACTTACTATCATTACGTTGGCTAAATGAGCAACAGGAAACTACTACCTTCATAAGTGGTAAAACCAGGTAATCATCATTACTAAATAAAGTACTGAATGTTTATTATGTGGAAAACACTGTTCCATGTACCAAGAAGAATTCCAAAATAAATTTTAACTCTCCTCAAGTAGTTTATAATCTGGTTGGGGGAGAAATAACACATATAATTAGATTATAATATAAAGCAATATATGTATTGGTACATGCACAGCAATGAAGGACAGGAAGGCAAACAAAGCAAAAAATAAATTAGGTAGCATATAGCAAGATGCCCTCTACACCAAGGGAAACTGTCAGGGTGTTACAAGACTTCTGCCATGCCACTTAGCACTTCTGTTACTAAGATCTCTTACTTAAATATTTGAGAGTAATATACAGAATACATTCAGCAAAAAATATACTTAGAAAAGAGTCACATCTATTTCCAGTACTATCATCATTGTAAGAAACAGAAAATGAGAGTTCATAGCAAGGGTCTGTTAAACATTTTCCCTATTACAGTCATTTATAGGCTGTGCTTTCTCTTCCTGTTTCACTCCCTGAATAGAGACTCATGGCAGCAGCACTTAGTAGGCCTGAAGCTTCCCTCCGGTACCTACTGAAGACTATACAAAATAATTCTTGCTCTCTAACAGCCAAGTGGAAATTCAACTTCCAAGCAGTAATAGTAAAATAGGCTTAAAGACAAGAAGCTTTACTAAGATAACTCTGACTCTGAATAGTAAAACAGGCACTGTTCTAAATAGAAAAAAAAAAAGCCTAATATCTAATTGTCAGAGCAATGCAATATAATGTTTAATTAATTAACTCATTTCCAAGAATTTTTCCTTTAGTGGCAATGATTGCAGATTGGCGAGTGAGTTTGGAAATATGATGTCTCAAGAAGTTAATCTGCAGTGGGAAATTAACAAAGTAGAATTTCTGTAAGTT